CTGTCCTGGTTTGACCCTTCACTACATGATTTCCTTCAAATATGTAAACACTACTAGGGAGCATTGGGATTGGGAGACTGGGATTGCCATATACACACTACTACGGATAAAACAGATAACTAACAAGAATCTACTGTATAGCACAGGGAACTTTAATCAATGCTCTATGGTGACCTACATGGGAAGGAAATAAAAAAAAGAGGGGATATATGTACAACTATTCACTTTGTTGCCCAGCAGCAAATTAACACAACATTGTAAAGCTACTCCAATAAAAATTAATTTTAAAATAAACACTATTGCTCTCTTTAGCTTTCTCATTGCTAAATCAAACAACCTCCATTTCATCAAATCATCATATAAGATCCTGGTGCACTTGTCATCTTGACCACTCTTGTCTGAAAATCTTTGGTATTTCACTGCTACACTTAAAGCGTGTTGGTCTTAACTAAGTGCAATACTAATAAAAATATGTGGAACAGCACAATAGAACTAAGATCACATTGAATAGAATGTAATATAATCTATCATCTAGATCTTATGCTGCTCCAAAGAACTTCTTATGATGATAGAAATGTTCTACCTCTGCACTGTTCAGCAGTCTAGCCACTAACCTCATATGGCTATTGAGCTCTTGAAATGTGGTTGGTATGACTGAGGGGCTCAATTTTTAATTTTAGCTAAATTTAAGTAGACACACTGAAATTAAAATTCTTCCTCAAAATTTTTTCTATTAAATTTTAGTCAATACACTGTAAGTTTACTTACCAGGATGTAACCATGAGACTGACATGATATAAGTTAAAATGAGGGAGTGTTTTTTGGATTCTAACTGAGGCCCAAATTTCCAAAAAAAAGTCACTTAGGATTTTATTACCTGGTTACATTTAGCCCATGAATGCACATGATAAAACTAATATTCTCTTTTCCACTAGTTATGCTGTTAGTGGATAAGAACTGACACTCCAAACAGAATAAGAAAGTGATTTCAATTTATTTGTAGAAATAAAGAAGGACATAAAAACTAAAAATTCTTAAAAATTTAAATGCCTACAAAGGGTCTTCACTTAAATGTTTTATTAAGCAACTCAAGCCAAACATTTCCCCAAATAAACTCCTGCTCTCCCACACTTCATAGCACACCCCATCCCCAAATCCCTGCAGCTCACTCACTTATTATTTACAACTCAGAAAATGGTCAATCGTTCCCATTGCCCAGGTCTAAAACCTTGTGTCATATCCTTGACTCCAGTCTTTCTCCTACACCCCAAATCCAAACCTAGCACATTCTATTTTGTCCGTCTAGATAGAGCTGTCCCCCAGCTCTATCTGCATGACTTGAATTTCTTCTTCATCAAATCTTTACTCAAACGACACCTTAGTGAGGCCTTCTCCCCTACAGCTGCAAACCTACCACCCCATACTCCCTATTCTTGTTCCCTACTTTGCCACTTATCATGTGACATATATTTTCTTTGTCTGCTCCCACAAGAAGTAAGCTTCAAGAGAGAATAGATATTTGCTTCTCATTGCTGTATCCCCAGTGTCCGGCACATAGAAGACAGTCAAATGTCAGTTGACTGTTTCCACAAATTATACATACATTATACACGCAAATGACATACTCAGGGTTGCAAAGGAAATATACTTAGAAATAACTGATGCGTTAGGGTAGTGGACTGAATTTTTTAACAACAACAACAAAATAGGTAAAAGAACAATTATTAGCATTGTTTTAAGTGACCAATACAGCATTTGAAGTCTAGTCAGAATAAATCTTTCACAAACACTTTGGTTTGGACATCCCTGCTCTAGCAGACAACCTTTCTCAAGCTCATCCACTCCTGCCCCCTTCTCTTCCTTTCACCACGGCATAAAATTATCCCAATAAAAGTAGAAAATAAACTCTAATGTAAACATGTAATTGTCACATTCCCTGGATTAAACAGGCTCTCAGTTGTTTTGAATTAACATTTCATAAGCACGTTATCAGTCTATAGTCATGAACTATCTATTTCCCATTTCTAAAGACCTGTGATGTCCAACATGTGGCATCAAAGTTCATTTAAATAACACAAAAATCCAGTTCCTCAGTTGCACTAACCACGTTTCAAACACTCGATGCCCCATGCAGCTAGTGGTTACCGTATTGAACGGTACAGCTAGTGGTTACCGTACTGAACGGCACAGATATTGACGTGACAGGCAGCTCTGCTGGGCAGGTCTGCTAGAGATTTTTTTCCTAAAATTTTATTTCAAAGTATAAAAATGATTCAACTGAAACACTGGCAGGGTTTAGTCTTGTAATTTTCAGTTCTCTATGTCAGTGATTCTCAAAGTGTGGTCCCCAGACCAGCAGCAGTGTATTACTTAGGAACTTGTTGGAAATGTGAAATCTTGAGCCCCAGCAATTGGTCTTAATTTGCTTTAATGAGCTCTCTGGGTGATCCAGCAGATTTTGAGGCATACTCAAGTTTTAGACCAGGGTTGGCAGTCACTTTAGAGCAGTTATCAATACAAACATAAGCTCTGAGGTATTATGAATGTATCATTACAATCTAAAATAATCTATAAATATCAACTGTGAAATCATACTTCTATCATGTCTTGTAGAAGAAAAACCTCAGTAGGTATTTTCAATAAAATTAATATAAAATATTAAAATGAAACTAATCATGAACCTTATGTGATTAAAAAATTAAAACTCTTCCAATTTGCAGATCCATATTCATTTCAGCATCAGCGTTATCACATTTTAATCTTTTTCTACAGATTCAGTTAGAAGCCTTTAAATGAGGAAGAATACACAGTGGTGCAATTACCAGGAAAGAGTGAGAAATTTTCAATGTATGCCAACTGAAATTTTTATGTGAGCAAATGTTAGTGTTATTAGTGAACTATTAAATAAATATGAAATCTATTGGCTCAAATTAATTCATCTAGAAGTTGAAGCTAAAGTTGCAAAAGTGTTATGAAAAAGGCTAAACAATCTACCTACATTATTTCCTCTTACTAATCATAGAACTAGTATAGAACTAAGTATCAACATCCATATATGTTAAATATTTCTCATTAAATTTTCTGACAGGAGAACAGCCTTAGAAATTTCAGCTAAGAATACATTTAATGAAATACATTAAAATAATTACAAAACCACTGGGAAAAGATCTAGTTTTGGCTTAATACAAATTTGGCCCAAAGAGGAGAGTCTTCAAGAGCCTGATTAATTACAAATTTCTGCAACAGCCAAGTGTTTACTGAGATAACCTGCTCGTGGAAAATTACTTAATCACAATTCAAGTACAGAATGTTTCAAGTGCGTAGGCACTAGATAATTTTAAGAAGTTTTATTAAAATATTTACAACATATTGAACTTCTGGTCTACGCGAACCTAAATCACTCTTAACACTGCCACTGCACATAAATTTCCATTTCCAATCAAGTATCCTTCCATCAAGTGAATACTGGCAATGTTAGACAGGGCTTTTAAACCTAAACATTCTTTGAACATATATATATATATATATAGCTAAGTTGTTTCAGTCATGTCTGGACTCTGCGACCCCGTGGACTGTAGCCCGTCAGGCTCCTCTGTCCATGGGATTCTCTGGAGGGCAAGAATACTGGAGTGGGGTGCCTATTCTCCTCAAACATTCTTTACTAAACACTAAGGACACAATCTATAACTTTGGAACATTGTGTTTCTTAAACAAAAAACAAATGAGTAACATTAAGTACTAACCACGTGTCAGTCAATGTTACTTATTTCTCTCACTAACCTTGGTATTCCTAGCATAGATCCAAGCATATAATATATACTTAATTGGCATTTATTTTTTAAAAAGTAATGATAATTAAGATGAAGGGACTCAAAGATACTAAAAAAAAAAGAGAAAAAAGTCCCGGCCCTCAAGGAGATTATAAATCGAATTCCGAAACATGACCCACGAAAAGCTAAACAACCTATAACAATTAAAAATACCACGTGGCAGGACCGTGATTATTTGCAAAGTCAGTGGCAAAGAAGAGTGCTGTAAATTTCTGACAAAGAGACAGTATTATAGACTGCGGTTCTTCTGGTCTCCCGACCAGACGGCGACACTATAGTTCAATTTAAAAAAAGAAAGTGACACAGCACTCATCCCACCCTAAAATTATCATCAGAGGAAGGAATACAATAACTAAAGAGAACGGTGTAAAGAAAACTTCCATACACAGCTTTTAAAGCATACGATGGCCCTGATAAAAGTGAAAACGTGCCGCACAACACTGGATCTCCAGGACCTCTGAAGGCTCCTGAAACACAAGTCTCTCAAAGGAGAGCATCCTTCCTCCTTTCTGCCTACGAAGCTTTCCACTGGACAGCCGTCCCAGAAATTTCTCCCAGCATCCGCAGTGACAGCAACTCTCATCTTCCTCTCCCTCCCCTCGCCAGTATCAGACGGTGGCATCTCCCGCCAGGGGAAAAAACGGAGGGCGGGGGGTGGGGGAGGCAGAATAGGCGAGAAAGCTTGCAGCTAGATCGATTTAGGACGGGAAGAGTAGGTGTGAGGACGCGGGGGTCGAGGACGGGATCCTCCCAGCTCCAGCTCCAGTCTCTAGGAGGCCTGGCCAATATCCCACTCCCCCCACCCCCAACCAGGGCGCGCCCCTCGCTCGCTGGACCTGAACCGGGAGGCGACGGACTCGAGTGACAGCCCCACTACCCGTGCGCCCACCCCCCAGCCCCGTCCCCCAGGCCCGCGGAGAGACGCCTGCCCCCGCCCCACGAGCAGCGGCCCCGAGCTCCTTCTCTGATTCCAGTACACATCGCCGATGAGTGACAGGTCCCGGGGGAGGCAATCTCCAGCGCTCGCTGCTCGGGACCGCGGGTGCAACCGTGGGCCGAAGCCCTCCAGCAGGCACAGGGAGTAGACAGAACTTCCCGGACGGCCCCAGGGGACCTGGACCAGGCCTGGCCTTCCCGGGTTGCCCTACACCCGGCGGGGGTGGCACTTACTGCGGAGGTTGTGGATTAGCTCCGAGTGGCTGGCGCCGCCGGATTTCCAGGCCATCGCTAAGCACACCCGGAGCAAGTACAGAACCACCTTCAGCGCGGCGACGGTGCCCAGCAGCTTCCCCAAGAGTGAGACCACCTCCCACACGGTCACCGCCCCGTTCTCGTCCCCGCTGGAGCCGCCGCTGTTACTGCCGTCGTCGCTGCTGCCGCCACTGCGCGCTCCCGGCATCCCCCGCGGCACGCATGCGCTCTGTGACGCCGCGCGGCCTCGGGCGCGGCCGGGTGGGGCCGGAGGCGGGGGTGGCCTCGCGCCCCGCCGCCCGCGCAAGGGGCTGCTGCGGCTGCCTGAGACTGGCGGCTTGGCCTCGCTGAGTCAGCGCCACCGCCGCCACTGCGTGGCCTTTCTGAGGCCTCGGGCTGCGCAGCGCCTCCTTGCTTGGGTTTGCCCTGCGGTCAGGCGGGGTGGGCCCCAGCGCAGTCGGCCGCGTGCCTCGCTGCGGCTCTGGTCACCGAGAACGGTGGCGGGATGGCAGGGCGGGTGTGGTTCCGAGGCTGCCGGTGGCTCTGCAGTCGCCGCTGGGTCAGCTGTTGCGAGTGGCGGGTCTGCACCTATAGCTGTCCAGATTGTTAAACGGTGGGCTTCCTCCGTCCTGCCTTCACCCAACCCAATGAATGACTAATGTATTTAGGTCGGTTAGAGTCAGAGCTCCCTATGGTGGAGCCTGAATATCTTAAACGGAGGGCAGACGTCCTCTCTAACCTGAGTTACTCCAGGCTCTAGTTCACAAGTACATTTAGTGTCTGGTTAGCAGAGACTTTGGGACCCTGATTTGTTCTCAGCTCTAAAGCACAAATTCGGAGAGTGGAAGAATACTGAGACACGGGTTGGAGGGTGGAGTACCGAGAATGCTTTGCTCCTCAGGAAAATGCACTTGCTTAAAAATATTACAGTAGCCTATGGCGATTATGTTTTTCTCCTAACACAAGTGTGCGTTTTTAGCTATTTAAGCCTCACAAATTCCACCATTAGACTGGACTCCGGCTTTGCTGCTATCAGCTATGTAAGACACTGAGTGAAAGTGACAAGGAACATTGCCAGTAGAATCCAACTTGCTGACTCCTAATCAGAACTGAGACTGGAAGGATCCAGTCATCATTTAGTCCCAATAAACTTAAGGAAGGAAACAAAGCTATGTAAAGACATCGATGCTACTGCGTCAGCAACAATGCTCAAATTTTAGTTCTAACCAGACTGGCAAATGTGGTGTTTATGTACGTATATATGTACATATTTCCGATCCGAAATATACTTATATATTAACTATTTCGTGGGATTCTGGGATAATAACAGAGGCAGCATTTTTTACTTCAATATTGGGAATAAATTAGTCAGTTTGGGACTCAAAATTGGAACTGGGGGTCTTCAGAATTACAACTCGTTTCTGACTGTGTTAGCATTGAAGAAAAGGACTTGCTTGGAGGGAAGGGAAAGAGAGGTTTTGAATAATACATTGGTAAGTTAATGGACGTAATTCCACGAGAATTTAAGGATTTTGAATCTTTTCTATGCGTGGGGAAATGCAAGCCTACTTAGGTGTGGCTACTGGCTCGTTTCTCTTGCATTGCTTTTATTTTGTTTTTGCCCTTAAATTTGTCTTTACATTACAAATTTTTTTGCGCCAATGTATTGTCTCGGTGTTCCTATACCGATTTTGCAGATTAGAAGCTGGTCCTACAGCACAAGGACGGGCATGCTCTTGCCTTGGTTCAGAGCCGCCAGGGTGAGGAAGGGCGCCGTATCTTCTTTGCGTGTGGCGTCGGGTTATTCTTTCCGGCACTGCCGACTGAGGAGAATTGTCCCTCTGCAGCCACCGTCCTTCATGAGCTCCGGTCCAATCAGGGCTCAGCGAGAAGGGGCGGGACTGAGTGGCGCGCGCTGTACTTCGTGCTGTGCCTGCATGGGTTGCTCTCAGCATGGAGGAAATTTATGCTAAGTTTGTATCACAGAAAATCAGCAAGACCCGTTGGCGACCATTACCTCCAGGGAGCCTGCAGACAGCGGAGACTTTCGCCACGGGCTCTTGGGACAATGAGGTACCCCTGCGCCCGGCCGGGATTCCCTGCCAACTCCTTCCAGGAACCGCGCCCCCGGCCGTCAGCGCGCGAACTCGTTTTCTAGCTCCTCGCGCGGTTCTCTGTCTCCCGAATGCATGCCTCACGCTCGGTCGCCTTATACCTGAGAGCCATCAGTGGCCTCGTTTCTTGTGTTTTTGGTCGCCGTTTGCCCGGGATGCTTTTAAAGCAGGGTTGATTGAAGGCAGTGCACATTTCAGCTTCGGGGAGTTTGACGTATATTTCATCTCAAGATGAAATTTTCTGCTTTTCAGGAAAATTACGTTTCACTGTGGTCTATTGGAGATTTTGGAAACTTGGATTCTGATGGAGGATTTGAAGGAGATCATCAATTATTGTGCAGTATCAAACATCATGGTGATGTAATGGATTTACAAGTACGTCTGTTGTAATATCCAAAAGCTAACTTTTAAAAAATTGAGAGTAATACATTGAGAGATGTGAAGGACTTTAGAGTTTGTCTAGTCTTACCCCGGGTTTACAAGAACTTGAGTTCTCTGTGGGTTATGATTTGCCAGCGTCATATAGCTGGTTATGGCAGAATCAGCACTGGGGAAGGGGATGTGAAGTTGATCGTAGCTTGTTTGTTTAATTGACCATCTACTGTGTGCCAAGCTGTGTTTACATAAGTTAATTTCATTCTCATGGGATGCTGGTGAGTCAAGTATTGTTCTCTCTTATGAGAAAACTGAGACTAAGATCTTTTGAGGATGGCCTATGTGACAAATACTGTACAAGGCACTTTACATGTTTTTGCTTTTTGAATTCTCGTTTTACAAGTTTACCAAGGATTGGAGAACTTAACTTGGCCAAGGTTTCAAAGCTGGTAATAAGTGGTGGGAATGGAATTAAGTTTTCAAATTCTGATCTGTAAGACTTCAGAGTCCCTGCATTTTCTTCTGTGGAAAGCTGCCTGATCCTGGGAATTATGCTCTCCTAAACCTTTATGGTAGTTGTACAAAATTTAATCAATTGTAGATGAACAGGTTTGGGGGGGGAATTATTGTTTATTCTTCATGAAAATACTTTTATTTGTATAGCAGTTTTGACTTTCATATTTTATTTGCCTAGCATCTGTAGGCCCTTTGCATTTTAAAATTGTTACACTGCTAACTGAGTTAGACAGATGGGCTTCCTCCCTGCTGATATTTATGAATTTATAACATGCAGGAATTTTCTGTTTAGTTTTTTGACCAGGAAAGAATTGTAGCTGCTTCATCAACAGGATGTGTGACAGTTTTCCTCCACCATCCAAATAACCGGGTAAAGAACTTTTGTTTGAAAACTCAGTTTGCATTTTAATTATTTTTAGGAAGGTTTAGAGAAGGCTGTACTTAATAATGACAAATAATAAAGTTTTATAGTCTCAAAAATATAAAAAGTAGGGGGAAATGTCATTGTATTACCCATCTTTTAGTAGATTAATTCTAGAACTATTTCTTTGTGAACTTTCATTGAAATTGGGTAACTCTTCAATTTTCTTAGGTTGAATGTAACAGTATGGTATTCTGGCAAGTAATTTATCTGTAACTGTCTTTTAAGATCCTCTGGTTGTTTGAAGAAAGAGCACTTACTAGCTCAGGCACTGTGAGAGGGAGCAGGAACAGCTGCTTTCCTTCTGTGGACAGAACCTAGGTTTTAATTAGAAGGAAAGACATACTATATGAAGGCTTGACACTTTTTCAATGCCTTTCTTGTATGTCAAAGGCTGAGAGTGCTGACCTTCAGAGCACAGTGGTAAGGGCAATCCTTTAAAATAGCCCCGCTTGAAGTAACAGTTTTCAGTTGCTGGAAGAGGATGCTTATTTAGATTTGGGTATTAATAAAGGTCATCTTACTAATAGGCATACCTAGTGATATAAGACCCAGATCTAGTTAAATGTTATTCTTAACAGAGTCATTTGGAAAGCCCTGCAGAGATTTATCTCTTCAATGTAGGTCAGTTCCCTTAGGAATTTAAAGTTGCCTTTGAACACATAATTACCTGATACTTAAAAACTGTTTCTTTAGTTTGAGATAAATTTGGAATATTATTAAACAGTGTTTCTTTTGAATCTAATCTGGTGAATACAGAGCTTTAATGGAAGTATTTCCTAGACCTTAATACTTGGAAATACAAAGGGAAAAGAGTACTATTTTTCTAGAAAGGTATGAGACACAGTTTTAAAATAATAGTTTAGTTGGGGAAAGGGCTAATTTTTTGGAGCTTTGCTTTAATTAATCATAGCCTCATTTCTGACACCTAGACTCTGTCAGTCAGCCAGCAGTGGACAGCAGCTCACTACCACACAGGTCCAGGCAGTCCTTCCTGTAGCAATGCACCATGCACGGGTGTTGTGTGCAACAACCCAGAAATTGTTACAGTTGGAGAAGATGGCCGGATAAATCTCTTCAGAGCTGATCACAAGGAAGCTGTAAGAACTATAGGTAAGAAAAATCACCTTTCTTTGGTCTATCTTACAGTAATTGAGCACCTCCCATGTGCAATGCCAGGGGTTTAATGTTTGAGGGATTTAGAAATATACAAAGCAGGATCCCTTTATCAAGATAGTATGTTGATAAGCCCTGTATGAAGGACTGAATAGAAGAAAGAGAAATTTGTGGGGAGGAGGGTTGGAAGGAATTATCGGATAAAGAATTGAAGGGCAGGACAATTCATTAATCTAGATTCTAGACAATAAATAATACTAAGAAGTGGCACACCAAATACAGGGAATAGCATAGAGGCAGGGTAAGGCTGTGCAGAGAATGACAGAAAGTGTAGTCTGACCTGACTTTAGGTATTTGTATGGAGAGTTGAGAGATGAAACAAGAAAGGTAAATTGCAGTCAGGTTGTGAAGAATCTAATACATATTTTAGGTAGGTGGCTGAGGAGCCATTGAAAGTTTTTGAGAAAAGGGGTAATGTACCCACATCATGTTTTAGAAGGATTATTTAGTTCAGTGGTAGTGGTTTAGTTGCTAAGTCATGTCTGACTAGTGTAATAGTTCTCAACCATATTTTGTACAAACTTGCCTGAGGAGATTTTTAACAGCCCATCACCCTAGACCTCCTGAATTAGAACTTCTATGAATTGAGCCCATGAATCAGTTTTTTGTATTGTTATTATTTTTAGTTCTGAGGAATACCATTTGTTTAGCTTTGAAAGACTTCTGGCCTGGTGACAGTTTGGAGGAGGGTCACAAAACAAAAGTTTTTAAGTATATACTAAATAAAGATGTGTAAGCTTAGACACACTAGGAAAAACAGAAGGACCATTAAAGCAAACAGGAAGAAGTTCGTGGCAGAAGAGAGAGCTGATAAGGATAAAGATGAATTGATTTGAGATGAGTCAGCAGAATAACACAGGGTCAGAATGAGCTCTGTAGGAAGCTGTGGTGTTTGGCCCAACAGAATGAAGGTTCTGGAGGAAGCAGTTCAGTTCAGTTGTTCTTTGTGACCCCATGGACTGCAGCACTCCAGGCTTCCCTGTCCATCACCACCTCCTACAGCTTGCTCAAGCTCAATGTCCTTCGAGTCAGTGATGCCATCCAACCATCTCATCCTCTGTCACCGCCTTCTTCCCCTGCCTTCAGTCTTTCCCAGCATCAGGGTCTTTTCCAGTGAGTCAGTTCTTCACATCAGGTGGCCAAAGGATTGGAGCTTCAGCTTCAGCATCAATCCTTCCAATGAATATTCAGGACTGACGTCCTTTAGGATGGACTGGTTTGATCTCCTTGCAGTCCAAGGGACTCTCAAGAGTCTTCTCCAACACACAGTTCAAAAGCATCAATTCTTCAACACTTAGCTTTCATTACAGTCCAACTCTCACATACATACATGACTAGTGGAAAAACTGTAGTCTTGACTACACAGACCTTTGTCGGCAAATAACGTCTCTGCTTTTTAATATGCTATTTAGGTTGTCTAGGGTGAAGCAGTGGTGGGAGATAAAATTGGATTACAAAGGGACTTGGACAGCTGTCTCAGAAATGGAGGGTAGTACTCTTATGTGGAAACAGAGAAATATGTGAAAACTTAGTCCTCTATTTGGAAAACAGTTCAGATGTCCTGTGAGTGATATAATTTTTCTACCAAAGGAGAGTCCATTTTAACATATGTTCCCATATTTTTCCATAGAAATAAAACTGTGACTTATTTAAAATTTTACTTGTAATCTTTCAGTCAACAGAGGGAAGGCTGTTTAAGGTATTCATGGAAAAGTGGTGGCCTGTTAACATACCCTGCGGTTTTTTTAATTTACAGACAATGCAGATAGCAGTACACTCCACGCTGTAACCTTCCTTCGAACTCCTGAGATTCTTACAGTAAATTCAATTGGACAGTTAAAAATATGGGATTTTAGACAACAAGGAAATGAGCCCACTCAGATATTATCACTGTAAGTTTTGATTTGTAATTTCAATAGTGTAAAACAAATTTGTTTATTTATAGCAACTAACTTTATAAGCCATATTGTATTTTAATTGCATGTTAAGAGTAATTTCTGATTAACTTTGATAAAGCAAATACAGTTGACCCTTGAACAATATAAGGGTTAGAGTCACTGACCCTCTATACACGCAAAAATCCATGTATACTTTATAGTCAGTGCTCCATATTCCAGGAATCCTCTGTACCGAAGGTTCCACCTTCCCAGATTCAACCAACCTCGGATCATGTTGCAGTATACATCTACTATTGAAAAATACTCATATGTAAGTGGACCCATGTTGTTCAAGGTCAATTGTATAATTTGATGGGCTTGATAATACCTTGCTGCATTTAATAAGTATTTGTAGTATTGATTCAGAAGTTTATATTTTCTCTTTGAGGTGTATATTAATTAATGGGGTACTTATTTTTGCTCATCAGATGATCCTATTAATAGTGAAATAATACACTCTAGATGTGATTGGGAGGAAAATATGGTCCAAGATACTTTTTCTAACAGAAATCCCCTTTCTATGTGTGCAGCCTCCTCTTCTCTAGATAATAGTATGTGTCAAACTGAAAAATATATATGTAAACTAAGCATTAAATAAGACAGAGCAGAAGTAAGAGGTATGCTGTTTTGTTGATATATAATGCTTTTTAAAAGCTAAGAAATGGGAAGCAACCTAGATGCCCATCAGCAGACGAATGGATAAGGAAGCTGTGGTACATATACACTATGGAATATTACTCAGCCATTAAAAAGAATTCATTTGAATCAGTTCTAATGAGATGGATGAAACTGGAGCCCATTATACAGAGCGAAGTAAGCCAGAAAGATAAAGACCAATACAGTATACTAATGCATATATATGGAATTTAGAAAGATGGTAACGATAACCCTATATGCAAAACAGAAAAAGAGACACAGATGTACAGAACAGACTTTTAGATTCTGTGGGAGAAGGCAAGGTTGGGATGTTCTGAGAGAACAGCATTGAAACAAGTATACTATCAAGGGTGAAGCAGATCGCCAGCCCAGGTTGGGTGCACGAGACAAGTGCTTAGGGCTCGCACTGGGAAGACCCAGAGGGATGGGATGGGGAGGGAGGTGGGAGGGGGGATCGGGATGGGGAACACATGTAGATCCATGGCTGATTAATGTCAATGTATGACAAAAACCACTACAATATTGTAAAGTAATTAGCCTCCAACTAATAAAAATAAATGGGGAAAAAAAGAAAAAAAATAAAAGCTAAGAAATGGAAATATTTTGCATATCTTACCATCAAATTTTCTTGTTCCATATGTGTCCAAATTGAAGAGAGAATGAATAACTCTAGGCTTTAATTCCCCCTCAGAATTCTAGTATTTAGAGATATATTTAATGAGAGATCTTGTCTGGAAGATCCCATGGACAGAGGAGCCTGGAGGCTGCAGTCCATGGGGTCGCAAAGAGTTGGACACAACTGAGCAACTTCACTTTCACTTTCATATTTAATGTAGTCAGGTTTTTGACATAATTTAAGTTTACCCAGTAGCTCCAGCCACAAAATTATCATTTAGTTAATGGGATAACACTTGTTTCATGGGCTATTCAATGATTAATTACACTTTACCACTGTTTGAAGTCATTGTATTTCCCATTAAAGGACTGGTGACCGAGTGCCACTCCACTGTGTTGATCGACATCCCAACCAGCAGCACGTTGTAGCTACTGGAGGCCAGGATGGAATGTTGAGTATTTGGGATGTTCGACAAGGTACAATGCCTGTGTCTCTGCTGAAGGCTCATGAAGCTGAAAGTAAGTCTTGTGAAGATACATGAAGTTTTTGGTGGGTGAGCTATACAATGTAGTGTTAGCAGATTTCCATAAATGATACATATGGATCATTCTACAGCAGAACTTTTGACTGGATTGAATAGATTTATAATAATTAACAGAGAAGGCAGTGGCAACCCACTCCAGTATTCTTGCCTGGAGAATCCCAGGGATGGAGGAGCCTGGTAGGCTGCCATCTGTGGGGTCACACAGAGTCAGACATGACTGAGCGACTTCACTTTCACTTTTCACTTTCATGCATTGGAGAAGGAAATGGCAACCCACTCCAGTGTTCTTGCCTGGAGAATCCCAGGGATGGAGGAGCCTGGTAGGCTGCCATCTGTGGGGTCGCACAGAGTCAGACATGGCTGAAGCGACTTAGCAGCTGCAGCAGCATAATAATTAACTCCTTTTTTATTTGACATTTACATTCTTTAACATGTTTGTTATACATAAAACTGTAGTGATTATCCATATATGTTTATCTTTATGTGCTTATTTTTTAGGATAATTTTTAGAAATAGAATTGATGAGTCAAAAAGTTGTTATAATTTTAAAGCTGTGATTCATGTTGACAAATTGTTCTACATAAAAATAATAAACAGTTTATATTGTCATACCCAGTATGTCAGAATGCACTTTTCCCATGCAAAATGCAGGTTGTTATTTTTAATATTTGCCAGTCTGTGTGTTCTTCAATTTATTATTATACCTTTTTTTTTTCTTTTAGCAAGAACAAAAGATATAGGCTCTTGCCTTTTTTTGTTTGTTTTTTTATTTTAGTGGAGATGTTTTGGCTGAACAGAAATGTTTCATTTTATCACCACAGGTCAGGGTGGATTATAGTTTTAAATTCTGTCTTAGGAAAAGTTGGTATTAATGCTTGAATAAAAGTGTAGAAGAGCAAATGTTATACCAGTATTGTAACTTCGAAGCTATAAAGTTTCACGTCATTAATACTTGGGGAAGATAAATAGTTTTTAAGATTATATATAAGAAGCAAATAGAAACTGTTTCCCTCTTCTAGGTATGGCTCTGTGGGGCGGGGCGGGGGGGAAGAGGGGGGAATGAATAGGGTATGCATCAGAGTCTGTTGTTGCTAACCTAGTGGTAGTTAGAATTATAAACTTTCAAAGCTCTTCTCACCAGCCTATTTTTAAATGCCAGCCTGTATCGTTAAGCAGAACACACTAGTGGCTTGTAGTGTATTTCAATTCATCTTGACTGTTGGCTAGAGGTTTGTTTTCTAATTGGAAAGTATATAAATACATAAGTGTCTAGATTTGGGCAGCCTGCAATGGCTCTATTAGGCTTTTCTGTTTTACTTTGTTTTAGTGAAACAGCATGAATGTACTTTACACAGTCACCCAGAATACATTCTTTTCCAGAGGAAGGTCACCTTTTTGTTCTGCAGCATGTTTAATTGTGGTAACTGTCAGGATGAAAATGCCAGCTTGCAAACATGTGCCTTGCACTTTTTATACGACACTCTGGGTGCTTTCTGTGCTGCCTCTGTAAGCCTACCTAACCCAGGATCACAGAAGCCTTGCTCACAGACTCCTTTTTCACCTTCATGCTGCAGATAACTTCCTGAGGAGTCCTGGCCAGCCCTTGGCTGCCAGGTGACTGTTGGCACATAAAGTTCCCTTAATGCTTAGAGCTTGAGGTGCCCCCAGTCCCAAGCTGGCTTCTTAAAAGTCCTCCATCTGAAACTGGATCCAGATTCTTGAAGCCTTTCCAGGTTTTGGCTTGTTGAGAGCTAGTTGCTATTTCTGTGATACAGAGCAGAGTCTTGGCATGAGCCAAAATTGGACTCTGCCTCTTAGAACTTCATTTGTATACTGCTTTTATGGTCTTCCCTCTCTCCCTTTCCAATAATAAAACCTTCAAATATTAATGACATAGAAATTGAAAATGAAAGAACTTAACAATTTTCAAAAAATCTTTTCAGAATTATCCCATTGTCATATTGGGTTGGCCAAAACTTTGTTCGAATTGCCATAAATTGATATGGAAAAACCTGAACACACTTTTTGGCCAACCCAATACTCTTCCATATAAAAAAGCAGTAGGTTAGATGACTAGTGTTTATTTTCATTCATTTGCTGGCCCGATACACGAGTAGATTTACTTGACGTCTTTATCCTATCTACATGTTTCAGCCATTTGAAGCGTTATATTATGCTTTCTCTTTGACACTGAAGCCTTTGATTTTTATCACAGGCTTGGAGTTTGAAGGTGTGTGATGGAAGTTAACGGACGATATGCCTAGAGGTAGGGTTTTGATGTTGGTTTAACTGACCTTGGCTCTTATCTCACAGTGTGGGAAGTTCACTTTCACCCATCCAACCCAGATCACCTGTTCACTTGTTCTGAAGATGGATCTCTCTGGCACTGGGATGCCTCCACAGACGGGCCTGAGAAGTCGTCACTCTTTCACCAAGGTAAAATGTTTTGATGAAGATTCTTGTGGGCAACTTGAGATTGTATTTTTATATACTAAATGAGAAATACTCATATTTTTAACATTAAGGAATGACAGAAGGTTTCCATTCTGTGGCCTCGGGGTAAATTTTAGTATCACAGGACATGAAATCTATCAGCTGCTGACCACTATACTGCTGACAACTAGAAATGCTATTAGCTGGCTAACTTTGTAAGTACATTGTTGTGGGCCCTCATGCCATAGAATAGGCACTGATCACTCTCTTACGTTACATTGTCAAAGGTGTATGACAAGACAAAAGTTGATCTTTTATGTATTAAGGTACTGGTTTCTCAGAATAAAAGGCTCTGTCTCCTGATTAAAGACAGGTAAGTAAAGGTTTGACTTCCCAGGTGGTGCTAGTTGTAAAGAACCCACCTGTCAATACAGGAGACCTAAGAGGTGTGGGTTCAATCCCTGGGTTGGGAAGATCCCCTGGAGGAGGGCACGGCAACCCACTCCAGTATTCTTGCCTAGAGAATCCCATGGACAGGGGAGCCTGGTGGGCTACTGTCCATAGGGTTGCAGAGAGTTGGACACGATTGAAATGACATAACTTAAGTAAAGGTCATCCAGAAACTATACACTTAAAATCAAGAAGTATTTTTATTTCTATTTTTGGTATTTTCTAAGCTTCCTGTTTTTGAGCTTGCCTGTGACTGCAAACTTTGTTCAATCACTCAGCAAATGTTTATCAAGTGCCATGTGCTAGGTACTCTTCTAGGTCTTATAGCCCATGATAGTGAGCAGAAAAGCCTTGAGGCACGTAGAGCAAATATTCCAGTAGACAGTAAGTCAGTAGATGATGTTTCAGTAAAAGTCCAATCAGAAAAGCAGAAACTACCCTGGGTTTAGAAGGAATTGTTTTCATGTGTGTTGGGCTAGAAGAACGAAGAGCAAATAGCAAAAAGGAGGAATGCCCAGAAATGAACAGTTGTTAGTAACCTCCGCTGTCCTGTTAGAAGTGCTGTCAGAGTTGGCTCTGGATCAGCAGAAAAGGTGCCACCTCAGCTGGGGCTGGAATCACTGTACTGTCAGAAACCTGGAGCTTTTTCCACCCCACCCTACTCCCCACAGCCTCTCTGCCTTCTCACCCGCAATAGTTATCTCCCACACGCCGGCTTTGCCTGGAAGGCAGGTGGCAAGGGAGCCTGGCAAAAGGAATTCACTCCCACAGTACATAGCAGAGCGCAGCAAAGTAGCAAGGGAGACAGAGCAAAAACGGGGAAGACCTGGTCAGACGCCCTGACGACGATGCCGAAGAGTGGAGAGAGGGGACGGTCAAAAGTTAACCGGGGAGGGGCGCTGGGCAGAGGAGAGGTCTGAGCAGAGACCTGAAGAGATGAAAGTAGCGGTCACAGGCAGCATTCCAGGTAGAGGAAACACCAAATTCCAAACGCCTGAGGCTGAGACGAAAGGGCCAGTGTGGCCGCCACTCAGCAGGCAGGAGGCGGAGTAGGTGGTGGGGCGGAGCTGAGGAGCGGGGCTCTGCAGACTGGGAGCGGGCCTGGGATTTCCTCCTGACTTGACCCAGAGCCACTGGAGAATTCTGAGCAGGGGAGTGCGGTGATCTGTCTTAGGTTTCCAGTCAGTCGCTTTGGCAACTGTGGGGAGAGGGTTGGAAAAGTGGAAGCAGGGAGACCAGGAAAGAGACTTTGCACAGTGGTTCTAATGTTCCTTTTCACGGTATTCAAGAGTAATATAAGACATCGGAGCAAAAGGTAAACAGAAACCAAGAAGGAAAAGTCCAAAACTTCTCCAGAAAAATTCTGGAAAAGTATGCAATGTGCGGAGCATGAAGTATGCCTGTGTTAATAACTTCATGTATGGAGAAACTAATAGTTTTATTAGCTTCTAATAAATACCCAGGAGTAGCTAAGCACTTGGTTTTTTATTTCTTCTTCTACCCCCACTATCTTGCATTTGAGATTTTATAGTTTGAAGAATGCTGGTTAGATTAGAAATAGTTATTTACTATATCCTGTGTCTGGTATTGCAAGGAACAGTATTAGACACTGTGAAAAAGTAAAATAATCTATACAACCTGCTCTTAAGGAATACTTAATTTAGTTTTGATTTACGAGAAGGGGCCACAGAAAGTTAAATCATGATATAAGAAATGTTGCAAATAGTAAATTATTAGGGGTGCATACAAGTGCTGAGGGTTCCAGGAAGGAAAAGAGAAGCATGAACTAGAGACATCTGAACAGACTTCTTAGAAAAGGAAATTGAGCTGGGCTTTAAGAATCAGCAAGATTTGAACCCACTAATTTTTAAACTTCAAGGTATGAGAAACTTTGCCTTGTATTTCCAGCACTTAGCACAGAGCCTGGCATATAGTAGGTGTCAAACCATTTATTGAGAGTAGATGAAATCTGTCTTTATTTGATCTGGCAAAAAGTAGAAAGAAAATTTCAAATGAAGGCTAAAACTATAATTAATTATATGTTAAATGCAGAGCACTGTCAGAGATAAAAGTTTATAATTTGGTAGTGTTCTAAAATTCTACTTTTAAGAATATTTACCTAAAATAAACGCAAGAATAAAGGGAGATCTACAGCAAGTTGATTATATTTTTAGAAATATACAAATAAATATATTTTTAGAAATACTCAGAAATACATCCAGAAATTTTCTCATGATCACTTCGTTTTTTGATTATCTAACCATTTAGGTTTCTACATATTATCTACATCTGTTCTACTTGTCCTTTAGCCATTTTGCTACATTTCTGAGACCTTCCATTAAAGTATAACCAGGAAGACAGGGTCAAAATGAATCCTGTGCTTTGCTGAAGAGTTCAAGTTTGAAAACCATGTTATCCCATGAAATGATGTTTAATATCACTGACTTAAAAGCTTTTGGTCAAAAACAGTGATGTGTTATAATGGAATCATCAGCCTGTTATTCTTGAGAGTTAAAACAAGTTTATATCATTACATTTTTTAAATATTAGAATTTCAGATATTTACTAGTATAAAATTGGTCTTGAACAATGTTTTCCCCTTTTCTTTTTGTTCCCAGGAGGAAGAAATAGTACTTTTTTGTCTCATAGCATTAGTAACCAAGCTAATGTTCACCAATCTCTTATAAGCTCCTGGCTCAGCACTGATCCTGCCAAAGATCGTATTGAAATCACAAGCTTGCTTCCTAATAGGACTTTGTCTGTAAACAGTCTGGATGTTTTAGGTCCTTGTCTTGTTTGTGGAACGGATGCAGAAGCAATTTATGTTACTAGACAGCTTTTTTCATGAAGATACTAAAAGATTTCAGGTAAAAGATAATACAGTTACTGCCTTTCAAATGCCAATTTCTGTGCAAATTTTTGTTATTGGAAAATGTGAAATTTGTAAGGGGAACATCCGTAAACTATTGTTAATGCTGATGCCCAGTCTGTTAGTTGAATATTGCTCTAACAGTTGCTGGAGTCTGATTGATGACCCATGGCAACAGAATTGAAACATGTGGCGGAACATCTGTGATAAATGCACTGCCTTCGGCACCATTCTAGACAGCTCATGGAACCAAGTCTCCATTTTTGATGCTGTAGGGCTTACTAATGTCAAACCACCAACAGGTTCCTTTCCTTTTTATCAGCAGTATGTGGGGTATGGTATGCCCCTCCCTGGTGACATTTTCCAATACTAGTATTTATTCTCTTTACTGCAAGTATTTCTTCAGTCCTTCAACATTTTATTTCCTTAATAATTTCAGTAAACTTTCTTCAGTAAGAATTGAGTAGAGCAAAAATGACAGTTTTTGGTAGTGTTCAAATTTTTATTTAAAGTGAAAAATGTTTCGACGGGTTCCTTTATTAGAATGGGTTTGAATAGAACTCTGTCACCTCCTTAGACCCAGCTTTGTTTCTCTTGAAATGAAAAAAGACAAAATACATTTTTCCTAAGGATTTTTGCTTTAATTTAGTTTTTTTACACCATAGTTGAAAATTGCTGAATTGGACATTGTGCAATGAAATAGGATTTGACATTGGTAAGTGAGCCAGCTTCCAAACTAAAATTTGAGAGGTAACATGTATGAGACTAGTATGATGATGTGATAGGAGTAGAGTTTTGCTATCCTTAATTTTAATATTAATGATGACCTAACTTATTTTGAGACAGTTTTACGATACTGTCTTTCCAAAGTTTGTTAAGAGTAAATGCATCATTGAATTGTAAAGACCTTAATAAAAGATCACTCCTGTTACACAGGAAGTGTATGTTTATTTACTTTACAGTTCCAACAACAGATAACTATGAGTTTTTGTCTTTCTGGCCCAATAAATATTTTCAGTTTTTTTATGTTGCCTTATTCTCAGGATTTTGGGGGTTTGGAGTTTTTTTGGTCTACATTTTAAAATAGAATATACATATGCATTTGTTGTTCTGTATATATGTATTTGGCTCAAAAAATAATTGACTAAAGATATTTAGTACCTTTGAATTCCAAAGACTCAAAGAAGGAAAAAAATGTTGCTAATAGGAATTTTTAATCAGTTTCTAGTTTTATTGCTGGGGCTAATTTTTAAAACTTTGTTATTGCAAAAGCCATTCATTACAGAAAAAGCAGTCAAAAGAAAAATTAAAGTACTGATAATCTCAAACAGACACAGTTCTTTTCATACCACTTTGTATCCATTAATGTAAATAATTTTTCATAAAAAATGAAATATACTTGTTATATTTGTGAATGCACATTCTCTCACAGTAAATACATGGATTCGGTAATAAAAGTACAGCTAAGAATTGTCCTTTTGGCTTCATACTTCCCTTTATATGAATGCCTTGCTGCAGCCTAAGCAGCAGCGCCCCTCTCTTCACTTAGCAGAGGCATCCTCGCATTCCACTCGGCAGCTCAGCATCCTTGCTTTGAACGGGCCCAGAGTTGATCCTCATTCCTGGGAGACCCTGGCTCCCAAGGGGCACATTTTCCATGTTCAGTGAATGGCAAATGCTTTGTGGCTCTGCTTTAATCATATTACCTGCTGCTGAAAAGTTCAAGGTTTCATGAATGCTGTTAGCACCCTTCTCAATTTCCAGCAGTAATGTAAATAATTTCTCTTGATTGTTATAGTAAATAATCGGTAGAGGGAGTGAACCAGATATATAGGCTTAGCATACTAGCTTGGACTGGAAACAAGTTTGAAGTTTGAAGCTTTGATTTGATTTAAGGGTATTTGTAACCATAAGTAAAAGAAAGTACATTTGAATAGTGTTACATTTTCTATCAGTTGATGAGTTTTGCCAGATGTAATAAGAAACATAAGCTTTATGGAGTATAAATAAAACCCTTATTTATGAATTTGTTCATTCTCACTGCTTTCATTCATGAAAGCTATCAAATAGTTTCTTTTGAGGGCTCTAGGATCTCCAAGGTGAGCGATATCTTTGAAGGCATCTCCAACCTAAATTTAATCATCACATCCACAGATTCCCAATGAAAAATTTTCATCCAGCCTCTACTTGAAAATACATGATGATAAAGTCTCCCATTTCCCAGTGTAGCCTCCTCGTTTGGACAGCTGTAAGTGATATAGCACATGGCAAGGTTTTAATGTGTGAGTGGGGTCCTAAACAATCCTATAAAAAAGGTAGAATCATTATTGTGGGTTAATGAAATGATCATGTGAACCTACTACATAGTAGGTTCACTATGAGACAAAGCCAACCACCAGTCATTTTATGGAATTTCCATTGTGTTGGGGTACTTTAAGTTTCCACTAAATAAATGAATTTTCACATACTGAACTGAAATTTGCTTCCATTTGTCCTCTTTACTTGGGAGCCACATAAAGCAAATTTAATTTCTTTCAGCATATATTCAGATATTCAAAACTACATATTGTAGCTGCTTTGGGGTAAACTTTTAAAATCTCTTTAGTGGTTTCTTGTGGCCAGGTTCCCTGTCCCACCTTTTTTGCCCTTTTTGGCTAAATCCGGCTTACCTTTCTGAACTCCTTTTAGGTGTCATTTTCTCGAGAAAGCTTTCGCTGGCCTCTTAACAATCTGGGCTAAATTGTACTCTGCATCAAAAGCCCATTGTGCAGAACTTGCACTGTGCTTATTGCCATCTGCTGAGCAGCCTGTCTCCCTCTACTGGACCATAAGCCCAAGAACAGGGCCCATCTCTGAGTTAACACAATATCTGATAATAGTAAGCCCTGAATCAGTCTGAACTAAATTAAATTCACAATTATGTTTTCCCCTTTTAAAAAAAATGCCTCATTTGCCGAAGACCACCATTAAAGTGTGACTTCCAAAATTAATACTTTCTCAGTGCTATCTGCCTTGACTTGCTAAGAGTATGACAAATCTATCTTGGTTCTGGGTACAATATTCCTTTGTAGTGGCTGTCTCAGCCTTTTCTAACTATTTTGATACTTATTCAATTAGACTGCTAATTTAACTTACACCTTTAATTTTTCACACCTGATACTCCCTAAACCATACTTCCCTATTCTGAAGTTAATGCCAATGATTTTGATTCTTGGAATGGGTACATCCTTCCTGGTTAATAAGACAAGTGTTATGTCACTTTAGGAAAGAGCTAATGATCACCTTTCAGTCCTTTCTGCAGAAGCTGATCATTTTAGATTGCCCAGCATGCTTACTGCACCTTCATCCCCTTGGGTTAAATGGACTATAATGCTTAGGCACACTCCTAGAGTCTTCCCAAGTATCAGTGACAGCCAAGTCATTAGTATTCGGCTATAGTTGTTGAAATATTTGTAAGCCAGCCTGATTTTTGACATTCGGCCCCATTCATTTATCTTGTTCACAAGGCTACTGTGAGAAAAACACCTGTGCTATAGCCATCTTCCTAGCCAAATTTTGGCATAGTTGAAAAATTCCTTGTCCCTTGAGAATAACACTTCTATTTCACAGTAGTGTGGAAACGTCATCCATTTAATAATCCATTCTAGAATCTTGTCTAAGAAGCATACTAAGTTCACTAGTGTATAATTTATATCAAGCCTTCATTTAAGCTTATGGTATCAAGATATCTAGCTCAGACTAGTTAGATGAGCTGAAGCAATAGATATGCTCTTGTTTTACAGATAATGAAATCTGGGTAGAGCCAAATTATGATATGCAACTGTTAAACTGTTTCACTGGTATCATTCTGAACCATAATGTTAAGTGGCAATACAGAATAAAATAACAAACTAACAGTCCCAGTGGTAAAGAATCCACCTGCCAATGCAGGAGACACAAGAGACTCAGGTTCGATCCCTGGGTTGGGAAGATCCTCTGGAGGAGGAAATGGCAACCCACTTCAGTATTCTTGCCTGGAAAAATCGCATGGACAGAGGAGCCTGGCGGGCTACAGTCCACAGAGTCGAAGAGTCAGACAACTGAGTAACTGAGCATGCACACACATACTTGACTACAGTCATCTTAACATCAGAACATTTTCAACACTTCACTATATTAGAAGAGAAAGCCACAAAGGAGGTGGGGGTGAGAAGACAGAATTAGGGAGAAGAGACTAAAATCTAGCTGATCAGGTAAAAAATTTTAATTACAAACTGTCATGACTGGACTTGGGGGGAAGAACGGTTGACAGCCCAACATAGCCATCAGATATGCATCAGTTTTCAAAACAATTTTTGTACAGACCATGGAAATAAGCTAAACTGTAATTAATACCAGACTGTAAAATACTAGCTGCAACAAATCAAAACACACTATACTTACTCCTGTATAGTATGGAATCAAAATTTCTTAGCTAGAGACCCTACAAGCAAGGATACCTCAGTAGCAATGAGCACAACTCGAACCCAGATTTGGTTTCTAACAACGTTCTCCCAATAAAAGGAACCAAGACTCCTTGGAGGGCAAGAAATAAACCAGGTAGTTTAGAGCATTCTGCAGTGCCAGAAAGTGAGAAAGGTTTTTTTTGTTGTTGTTTTTTTAAGCCCGCAATGATGGGAGTATGTCACAGGGACACAGAAGCTAACTGGAAGAGCTCTTAACAGCCAAAGTTGGAAAAATTTGATCCATTTTAAAAACTCCCAAACTATTACAGAAATATCCATAAGTCCACACTAATAATGTTTGAAAAAAACTGGAGACACAAATCTGCTCAGAATTCCAAATAATTTATGTAGATTCTCTGTTCTCAAGAAGGTGGAACACAATCCTCCACTCCTAAGTGGAGAATATGACTTCTCACAGTTGAGAACCTTCCCCTAAGATACTCTGAACTGGGAAGGCCTGTGTCCTCAGGACCACGGTGCTCTGCGACTTCTTCC